ATGCATGACACACTTTTTTCATATGTATTTTATTATATTTTTATTTTCATTTTAACTTTTAACAGTCAGACAAATTAACTTTTAAATGTACAAACATTCCTTGTGGTGTCTGTCAAATAATATGAGATTGCAAAAGCCGCATGCATAATAATAATTATATATAAAAAAATAAAAAATAAATAATGTATAAAATATTTAGCGATCGAATATAGCATGTCACACCCCAGGTCATAAAAAAAAAGTATTTTATGCCAGCTATAAATGTATTTATATAGAAACCACATCAGAGTTGTACACTGTAAATAGTGTACGTCTATATACATATTACACACTCTCTACTATACAGATTGCTATCTTAATGAAAATAAATTCTTGTTGGGCAGCCAAGTCTACAGTTCACCTGAGCCAAGTTTGGCAGTATATGTTGGCTTTAACCGTGCCTTTGTTCTCGCCTGATGGGACAACTGTAGCATTGCTTTAACAACGGTGCCATCTGAGGAATTTAAAGCATCTACTTGAACACATTTTCATGTGTGGTCAGAACGCCTTGTGTCCTTTTGGTTTTGTGTGAGTCTAGATGATTGATAAAGAACACTCTTATGGTTTACATGGTAGTTTTTAGTGTTGGACACGCATGTCGTTTTCGCTCTGAGCCGTCACTCCCTCTGCGGATTGTGTGTGACCAGTTGGTGCTGATGAAAGAGGATCTGCCACCTGTCATACTGCATTCCAGTATTTTGCTAAGCTGGGCAAATTGGGATGGGCAAAGCACGAATTATGTAGAACATCTAGGCAATTGATATATACTTCTGTATGTGTTGAAGATAAAGGCCATATGCTACTGGCGACATGCAGTTGCTGTCTAGTATGTGCATAAAATAAAAGAAACGTGGAGTCAAAAGCAGGACTGGACACTATTTTTTGCAGCCTTTTATTAATATTGATATATATCTTGACATCTTTGTGGACTTATTCACTTATTTTTAAAAAAGTGCACATGCTGTGACTTTATGTTAGTTAATATTAGTTAAATTTATCTGCAACAAAATATGTAAATATTTGATATAACGACTAGCTTTAAGTCAGGGATAACTGTTTATGGATAATTTCCATTATTTTGGATTTATCATCTACTACCTGGATTAAAATGTTGTGTTAATAAAAAAAAGAGAGGACCCAAGATAGTACCCTGAGGAACACCACGTAAAAACACCAAGTATAGACTTTTCATTGTTATTTGTTTATGTTGGTCTAGTGCACTTTTTATGTTTGATATAGGCCTATGTGCAGACAGACGTCATGAGAAAACTCATTCTTACTACCCTAAAAACCCCCAAATAGCACTTGGATAGCGGATGCCTTCTTTAGAAATGCAGTATTGCTGTTATCTGCTTGCTTTGCATCCATGCAATTAAAGTTAATGTTTGGTTTAGGGTGGAGGGGATGGGTAGGAGGACACTTTATCTTCAAATCGTTTTTTTTTTTCCTATCAGGCGGGGCTCGGGCTGCAATTACGGTGCAGCCTTGATACAATGTTATTGTGTTTTTTGAGAGCCCTGTTCTGGGAATGGAGGACAGATAGAGGAGTGTGCTTCAGTTGGAGAAAGATGGCTCTAACAGCACTAGCGCAATTAGCTCAGTGGTGTCTCTGTTTACCTGTCTTTTTTTTCTTTTTTTTTTTTAGGCTTGAGAAAGATAGCAAATGCGCATTTCTCCCTGCTTTTGTTTTCTTCTTTAAAATGGACAGAATGCACTTTGTATTTGTTTGCTGAAAAGGTATACTATGGAAGTTGATTTAGTATGGCTCTAAAATTATGTTAAAATTAAAGTAGGAGCCAGCAGTTAGCTCGTGGTAAGACATGTTGATAGCTCTCTGCTGCTCATGCAGGTAATCTAGTTTTAAGTCCAGACTGCAACATGTCCTGACCATTATGCTCTCTCCCTGGAAATGTATTTTAACTGTTCACTATATATCTGTCTAATGTAATTACCAAAAATACATAAAAATGTACCTATGCGTTTTACATCATACACTCTTTTATAGGACCCAAGCATAAGGTCCTAAACATTATTTGTATTTTAACTTTTAATGCAGTCAATTGTTGTTAAATGTTAAATTGTGTATGTTTCATTGTTTTAATTAATAAGCCATGCGTTTTAGAGAAAACTCATTCTTACTACCCTAAAAACCCCCAAATAGCACTTGGATAGCGGATGCCTTCTTTAGAAATGCAGTATTGCTGTTATCTGCTTGCTTTGCATCCATGCAATTAAAGTTAATGTTTGGTTTAGGGTGGAGGGGATGGGTAGGAGGACACTTTATCTTCAAATCGTTTTTTTTTTTCCTATCAGGCGGGGCTCGGGCTGCAATTACGGTGCAGCCTTGATACAATGTTATTGTGTTTTTTGAGAGCCCTGTTCTGGGAATGGAGGACAGATAGAGGAGTGTGCTTCAGTTGGAGAAAGATGGCTCTAACAGCACTAGCGCAATTAGCTCAGTGGTGTCTCTGTTTACCTGTCTTTTTTTTCTTTTTTTTTTTTAGGCTTGAGAAAGATAGCAAATGCGCATTTCTCCCTGCTTTTGTTTTCTTCTTTAAAATGGACAGAATGCACTTTGTATTTGTTTGCTGAAAAGGTATACTATGGAAGTTGATTTAGTATGGCTCTAAAATTATGTTAAAATTAAAGTAGGAGCCAGCAGTTAGCTCGTGGTAAGACATGTTGATAGCTCTCTGCTGCTCATGCAGGTAATCTAGTTTTAAGTCCAGACTGCAACATGTCCTGACCATTATGCTCTCTCCCTGGAAATGTATTTTAACTGTTCACTATATATCTGTCTAATGTAATTACCAAAAATACATAAAAATGTACCTATGCGTTTTACATCATACACTCTTTTATAGGACCCAAGCATAAGGTCCTAAACATTATTTGTATTTTAACTTTTAATGCAGTAAATTGTTGTTAAATGTTAAATTGTGTATGTTTCATTGTTTTAATTAATAAGACATGCGTTTTAATTAAGTAGACATGCTATTTGATAACTAAAATTTAATTTAGCCACTAAAACAGAATCCAGAAATCCAGAATTCAAACGGAAAAAATGAATTTTTGAAGAAATAAAAGGGAATTTGGGGAAATAAATAAAACAGGTTTCATAGGCTCTACTTTTCTCATTAAATATTCAGTTTCACTCAGAAATACATCATATTATGAAGGTGAAATAGGTTGGGAATGTTGTTTTATGTCATTTTTAAAGCTGAATATAAATCCTTTGCTTCCACTAGCATTTTTGATAATCCTTTAATCTGAGGTCACAGAGTGTTATGGTACAGTATTTGTTAGTGCTGGTTAAGCCTAATCTTGCTGAGATTCTGCTGCTCATTATCTTTTTTTCCCACCACTAAAGCCCTATGAAGTCCATCTGATTTAAAAATAAATAAATAAATTGCAAATTCACATCCACTGACACTATGAACAGAGCTGGTCAAAGGAGCGCAGCATCTCCAAAAGGTCACTGTGCTTATCTGCATTTTTCCCTTCCACATAACAATATCAAACACACAGTTTTAGTCCAGGTTTATCGGAAACCGCATAGTGTCTGTGGCATGCCTTTGAAGTGAGGCCTGTGTCTGTGGGATGCTGTAGGCAAAGCCGATGTATTCAAGGTGTCCTCGTCCTCCTTTTCCACATCACCTGTGGCAGAAATTTTGCAGCAAGGCTCTGCTTGTCATGTTGCGCACTTAAAGTGACACTTTTAGAAATAAATCAAGATCACACAGATGAGATGTTGCTTGTGATTCAACTGACACATCATATCTGTTGAGTTCACAGGCTTGAAGAAAGATCGTAGCTTTTTAAGTCTCACATATGGCATGCTTGCAAGGCATCAAAGCAAAAAAACTGCTGTCAAATGAGACATCGCATCTCACAAATATTCCCAGCTGTAGAGGTAAACAATGAGACTGCCGTTCATCCTTTAAAACCATCACTGGAGTGCTGTCATTTCAGGTCTGGAGATGAGGATTTTGAGTGTAATCACAGAGTTTGATGCTTGAGGTGCTCCAAACAGCCCTGAAACTTGAACCCCGATCATTATCGCTCATAAAGATACCGTCAGTATTTCACCTCAGGGCTGGCCGTCTCGCAAAACAGCTGAATGTGCTTAGATATCTTATAATGACAGACTCCTCACAATGTGCCGCTACTTAACCCAGTATTTAGGTGTCAACGGGACATCTGAGGAATTTAAAGCATCTGGAAAATAGAGACTGGAGGTGGAAATAAAGGGAAAGTGTGGAAACTATTGTGTTTTGTGGATGAGGTTCAAAGGCTAGTATGATGTCTCAAAGCTATTGTTTATGGCACTGAAGAATTGTATGGAATAATTCGATTTTTTTGTTTAGCTTAATTAAATTTTCAATGGTTTTGTTTTGTTCTCTGTTGTTTTGTTTTGCTTTGTTTTTTGTTTTGCTGTTTTTTATTTTGCTTTGCTTTGCTGTTTGTTTTCTTTTTCTCTTTGTTGTTTTGTGTTTTGCTTTTGTTTGTTTTTATTGTTTTACTTTTTGCTTTGTTTCTTTGCTGTTTTTTGTTTTATTTTGTTTTGCTTAGCTTTGTTTTGTGATTAGTTTTTTGCTTTGTTTTTTGCTTTTCTTTGTTTTGTATTGCTTTGATTTTTTGTTTTGTTTTGCTTTTGCTTTTTTGATGTACATAAAAAAAAAATATTTCACCCAAAAATGAAAATTTGCTGAAAATGTCCACAAAAAAACACTATCGTCAAAGATGATTGACAATTGATATAGCATACAGTTTGGATTGGCGGCGGTATGGTTCTGTTCTGTATATCCATGCAGCCTAGAATAGATAGAACGATAGATAGATAGATAGATAGATAGATAGCACATATTAAAGCACACATTAATGCACACATTAAAGCAGGCAGAAGCTAGTTTTGTGTCTTTTACTTAAACCCAGTGATAGATAGAGCCAAAACTTAACAGATGGTTCTTCTGGAGAAGAAACACTGCTCTGATGTTCTGTGGTGTGCTGATTTATCTCAGCGTGCGTTACTTCTGTTCATCTCCACTGCTCGTGTTGGAATGTCACCACAACGCATCTCACAAAGCAGGACCCTGAAACAAAACTTCCATGTTTGGTGGCTTGTGTCGAGATAAAACAGTTGCTTCTTTTTCCTTTCACCGGAGTGGTTCTCATCGTATGCTGATGTTTATGGAAGCCTGTTTCCACCACTAAATAAAAAAGGTGATTGTGACTTTTTATCTCACAATTTAGATTTTTATGGCACAGTTTTGAGTTTATATCTCACAATTCTGACTTTTTTTCTTGGAGTTGCACAGAAAAATCTGAATTCTGAGATATAAACTGTCTGTCTGTCTGTCTGTCTGTCTGTCTGTCTGTCTGTCTGTCTGTCTGTCAGTCAGTCAGTCATTTATTTTTGGTGGAAACAGGCTTCCATAAGTTTTAGTGTGCTATATTGTATTTTTCTTTTTAGACAAAAATGACAAAAATAATTTGTATCATGTTGTCTTGTGTTTAATATTAATTTTATATTATTTATGGAATAACAGAGTTTCCAAATAGGAAAGAAATCATCTGTCTAGCACATTTACACAGAAAAAAAAAAGGACTTTAACTTTAGTGCCTTAGGTTCTTTTCTTTTTACACTTTTTATCAAATTTTACACTGAAATAGTCACTGACTGTTTATCTTCACACAAACTCTTCCCACAGCTGCGCACCGATGCTGAGAAGCGCTCGCTGGTTGAAAGTGGCCTTTCCTGGTACAGCGAGGAGGGGAAGGCACAATGCCGGAATGAGGGAGGATACGACACAGGCAGCCTTAAGGCGGAGTCGTCCAGCAAATGGAAAAAAAGCCGATCTCAGGATGACACGGGAGTCAAGGGTGAGCTGAGGAAACCGCAGACGCTTGGCCACCCGCCCAGCGGACTGAAGAAGAGCCGTAACCCTCCTGTAGGCGTGACCTCCCCCATCACGCACACCTCACAGAGCATGCTCAAAGTGCCAGGAGGTTAGTGATGCCACACACACACACATACATCTAATGGTATGGAAACACACCCTGAAACATGCAACACATGTCGTTAATCTCCCATGACGTTCCAGTCTCCAAATCCTGCCAACACAGGCATAAATGATCTAATGAACAAATATGACCCAAATGTACTGTCTCAAAGGTAACTTTTATTGCTCAGAGGTTGCTCATTCATAGCTCAGGAGAATAAACTGAGTTCTCAGTTATTTTTTTTATTTAAAAGGATAGTTCACCCAAAAATAAAAATTAGCTGTTTATTTTCTCACCCTCAGGCCAAGATGTAGGTCACTTTTTTTTCTTCAGTTGAACAGATTTTTTTTGCTGAAATTGTGGTTGTTGGTGATTTGTAAAATGCAAGTCAATGGTTACCGTCACTGTCAGAGTAAAAAAAAAGCATATCAGGCAACACAAAATTAACACCTGTGGCTCCTGATGATATATTGAGATCTTATGAAGCAAAACGATTGGTCTGTGCAAGAAACTGAACATTATTTACTACATCATTACCTGTAATCCATAGCCTATATATAAGCTATATGTATTATATTTAAAATATATGTAAATTTAGGTAAACTG